TCCATTATCAGTCGATCATTATACACCATTCGATAGCCCTTTTCAAGAGCTACATGTCTGACGGTTCAAATTTGAAAAAGCTCATTTTCGACTTTTTGGCCAAATGTCCGCTTGAATGCCCACTGTGTGTCATTCTTTGAGATTTAGATTTTTAGATAGTCGTAAATCTCAGGTAAAAGGTTATTTTTCTATTGTTTTTATAATTCAACTGTTTTACTCGAATACAATCTTTTAAAGCAATGCAAGAAAAGGTTGTGGTTGTTGCGCATGATTTACATGATGATAGTTTGAAAAGTGATACTGCTCTTGAAAAACTTGAATCTCGTGTTGTTGAGACGCTACGAGCCCGCAAGAAGTGTGCATCAAAGGAGAGTATTAAACGTGCCTGTAAATGTGCAATATCCCTAGTATTATCTAAGACCAACAAAAAACCTGATTTTTTATCAGTTTATATTAAGGAGAAGCATATAAAAATGGCGATGGATGACTGTGTGTCGAGTTGTTGATAACGAAGAAAAAATTTCTTTTGACTTTTTGAATTCTGTTTTACAAGTCAAAGCTAATTTCCAGTATTTATCCCCTTTTTTCAAGCAATGTGTAAATAACAGTACTAAATGGTTAGATGTGACTCGTATTTTTGAAGCTGTGTGTTACTTTGTATTTGTGGACTTGAATTGTTATGTTGATTGTGAGGAACTAAAGCGCGAAATTCATACGAGAGTTTATGTGATTGTAACATCTGCAAGAAGGAAGACGACATATCCTTTAGCAGCATTGAGATTGTTAGAAAAAGAAAAAAATTTTGTTTTTGATCTGAAGTGTATTTCCTCCTTGGATGAGATATCGCAGCCGAATAGCAGATTTCACGTAACCTTTGGTGCTCCACTTAGCTGCCTGAAAACGTTCCAGGTTTTTGTGAATGACAGTAAACGTCTTCTACTTCGTTACGATGAAAGTGCCCGGAATTATGATGTTGTAGTTTTTCAACCCAAAAAGTCTAGGAAAATGCAGTCTAAAAATATTCTAACTGTAATGGTAAGCAGCGATTTTTTATTGAGAGCGGTTGACTCGTTTCTAAACAATGCCGGTCGTACCGATATTTGTGTGCTACGTGAACTAATACAGGATTATTTAAAAGATATCAAAATTAGTCATGATATTGAATTCATTAAAGAATCAATCAAAGCAGACATTCTTGAAAAGTTCGCGATTGAAAAAAATCGTTCCTCATTGCTTCGAGATCATTTTTTGTACTCGTTTTCTGTGCCCCTAAGTGAACAAAATAACAGAAATAATGATAAGTTTGATAACGTTGCTTCTTATCGACATCTCGGCACACCGGCTAGAGCTGCAAAAAGAAATATAGACATGACTGAGCATTTTTCAGATGATTCCACCGATTCGGGGAAAAGAATAAATAAACGGTGGAAGGAGCACATTGATGAGAGAAAAGAGAAGTTCATGGAATTGAAAGATACCTTCAATTTGACGGACGCGAGCATAGCTGCAATCGGACAGTATCTAAGAAAATACAAAACATTTTTTTCCTGGCATCAGACCCGTCAACTGCGGAAAAAGCTCAATACAAAATTTGCGATAAAACTCACAGAATCGGGTGATGCTGCATACGTCGACTTTGCCTATGCAATTACGACTGCTATCTATGTGGCCGAGTCATCGTTGAAAAAGCAGGACTCGCTAAAAAACCTAAACAAACTGGAAAAGCTAACTTGTCGCATTAGCATGGACGGGATCCTAGTTGGAAATAAACATATCATCGCTATGTGGGTGAATAGTGTAGATGGGGGCGTAGAAACTCAAACGGCAAAGCTTCTCGTACCACTGGGTGTTTTTCAAGTTACGCACGAGTCAAATGAAATTATAAAAAACGTGATTCCTGCTCATTTTCGAGAACAAATTAAAGCGCTGAAGTTTGTTCATTATAATGGCAGAGATATTCTAGTAACAAAGTTTGTAGAGGGAGATATGATGAATTTTGTGTATATAATGGGTCTGGCAGGGTTTAATTCAAATCATCCCTGTGTTTGGTGTACAGTTAGTAAAGAGGATTTGAAACAGCCAGATTTGACGTCTTGTTACGACACAGGAAAGAAAGCGCGAAGCTTATTCGAACAGAAAATGTGTCTGAAAGATGTCGGCGCAAAGGGAAAGAAAACAGCAGACTATCTACTAGGGTATAAATGTACGCCAGTTTTTGACGATTTATTTGATTTCAGTGATTATGTAATCGACACACTCCACATGAAACTGCGAGTGTATGATTATATCTTAGACGGAATACTTAGTCGAGCTTCACAGCAGACAAGCTATGGTCAGGCTCATATACAGGAAATGGAAAAGAAAATTGAGATACTGAATGAATATGTGAAAGAGAAAATAGGCAAAAGAGTATGGTTTAATTACGGAGAAGAAGAAAAAACCATCTCTAGGGCAGATAAAGCTAAAGGTATACGTATAAATGGCAAGCTTGGTGGCGATCTTCAGGACATTTTGTTCGAGAGCTTTCCATATGACAAGATATTAAAAGAACCTTATGAGAATGACGCGAGAAATATTGTTGCAAGGTTTCAGGGAATTCTGAGGGTACTGAAAAAACCGAAACAGATTAGAAGGAATATAGATTTGAAAAAGCTGCGTGTTGAGTTTTTGGATAAATGGAATAAATCAAATTTGAGAACTGGCGTAACCCCATATATTCACAGTATCGGTAATCATGTTTTTGAATTTGATGAAAAAGTAGATTTGAAAAGTTTTAATATGCAAGGTGTGGAGAAAGGCAATGATCGGTTGTCAAGATTGTACTTTTCTTCTACTAATCCGGCAAAAAAACCAATTTTGACTCTAATGTAAAAACTCTATCGCTTGCTTAATTTCCAATTCGATAGAAAAGAACGTGAGGCGCTCGAGAAATATATGGCTAAAGACTTTTATGATATAGATGACGATGACATTCCTTCAAACCCTCAGAAGAAGTCTCCTGTCGATGTTGATGACATATCTGGCAGTGATGTTACCTCAGGAAGTCTTGATTCGAGTTCTGAGAGTGAGAATGAGTTAGATACACTTTCGAAAGAACAAATTAACAACACTTATGACGCTCATTTTACTTTTGGTTTACCACGTAGCTTATCGACTAATAGGTATCCGTCGTTTAAGACTTCAAATAGACGTGCTGATTAAAAGAATTAAAAGACTAATGTTGTACATTTAGAAGTGTTCTTTATTGTTTTAGTGAAAGAATGAAGTCTAAACTGGGAATATAGAAAACCGATCTTGAGATCCTGTTGTCTAACTGAACTCGAACATCTCGGATAAATAAAAAGATGTTTGAGTTTGGACTGTTATACCCTTTTAGACCGATAATTAGAAATTTACCGTTAAATTAATACATTAATAATTTTAATGTAACTCTTATCCATTTCTCTCTGTTGTTGCGTGTGATGAATAAACAGCTCTTTTGCTGATTCGGTGCACTTCAGATGCACACGATATTTGTACTATTCAGCTGTTTATTCTGATCACAAGTCTAATAATTTTCAAAATGTCTCTCCAGAAAACCCTTCGCACCATAAACTTCGGCAGTTTCTTTTTGATGATGTCATTTATAGCTGTTGTGCAGTTTCTCATTGCGCTTCTATTTCTTTTCAGATTATGATATTCCCACTGATTCTTTACAAACAGGTAAATATTCTGTTATTAATATGATTCCTTTATGTGCATTTCTCTGTTACAGAAACGAAATATATGGCCATTCATGGAACATAACGTTAGTTTCGAACTATTCGTCCTAATCAACTTCAGATAAGTAACATTTTTCGTTACCTAAATATGATTCTTTGTGCGTGATTTGTTTTTCTTTAGGCATATATTGTAAAAGTTATTGAACAACAACCACAAGTATTTACGAATTAATATTTATTTTGTTTTATTAATCCAACATGGATGTTTTTTATATAGGCTTTGATCTTGTTCGTTTTTTACGTGATTAATTTTCATTCAATAAACTGAATTTCAAAAATAACTTCGTTTGTATTTCGCAATGGGTAAAGTTTACTATCTACATCTGCCTTTCGTAAGACACTAAAGGCTACATCCGTTTTTTCCTGTTGAACCACGATCACCAATTTAGCGAGCGCGAGTACTAATTATTAAGACTCTTTGCTTCGCATGTGGAAGAGTAATGTTCTAGGACTGCTTAAAACAATTCTCTTCTGGCATTTTCTAAAGGTGTTATAGTAAAAACTGATTTCGCATCCAAAAAACGATTTAATTCTTTCCCCTTTTCAAAGTTTCGTCGAAATGTTAATTTTTTTCAGATAACTTCTGCATAAAAAATTCTTTCATTTCGCTATGTATCAAAATCCTGATTCTGTCTTCATCGATCACGTATGTGATCAGACTGTAGCTGGAAGTAGTTGTTTTCTTTTTAACTGTTCAAGACTTCATCTGAAGCAACCGATCACGGTCGTAGATGCTCATTTTCACGACAGACTGTTACTTCACATTGGTGGGATGTGATCGAAACACGAGGTCCCCTTTTACAACAATTTTTGGGCATAACTAACATCCACCGCCCTTGCATATGGAATTCTACTCCGAATTGCCCCCTGGGAGGACGTGTTAAGTTCTATGAAGCTTACGGAATACACCCAAAAATATATGTATGATTCACCTATGAGTATACAGGTTGGCGAAACAATTTTTTGAACTTGAGACATATACTCCAAAGTAGGCAAGTTGTAGCTGTGGGTGAGTGCGGTTTTGACTCTACAGTTTCTTTTACAAATCAAACTGAGACTTTTGTTACACAGATTAACCTTGCTCGAGAATTTTATAAGCCAATTATTCTCCACTTTCGCGGTAGTAGTCTTTATCTTCTTCAAGTGTTACGTGCACATGCGACTCCACATAACGCTGTGAAAGTGCAATGCAGAAAGCGTACTGGCGGTTCGCGAGTTTTCAAGTACTTTTTCTGAGGGTATCATTAGCGTTGAAAGTTTTGCCTTCCGTCCGGACGATTTTTCACTTCAAGCACTATTGCATGAATTATCCTTAAGTGGTCAGGAACACAGATTCGTCTATGAGACAGATGCCCCGCACTTGAAACCTGGGAATTTATTCCGAGGCACTAAAAAGGTGAATTGTCCTATCATGGGAACACTAAGTGTAAGTTCTTATCTATGTGATAGGTTAAAAATGGATTGGACAACTTCTATGCAGCGAAAAGAAGAAGTTGTCAAAAATTTTTTAATTTAGTTGTTTGATTTTCCAAACCTTCTATGTAAATCTGCAGATATCCTGAGTGGAAGAAACGAGAAGTGGATTTTTATTTTTCTGTGTGAAAGTATTCCGACTCTCTGTTTTTATGCCTATGTGTCTTTTAGAAATGTTCTTTATTGTTTTAGTGAAAGAATGAAGCCTAAACTGGGAATATAGAAAACCGATCTTGAGATCCTGTTGTCTAACTGAACTCGAACATCTCGGATAAATAAAAAGATGTTTGAGTTTGGACTGTTATACCCTTTTAGACCGATAATTAGAAATTTACCGTTAAATTAATACATTAATAATTTTAATGTAACTCTTATCCATTTCTCTCTGTTGTTGCGTGTGATGAATAAACAGCTCTAATGTAAAAACTCTATCGCTTGCTTAATTTCCAGTTCGATAGAAAAGAACGTGAGGCGCTCGAGAAATATATGGCTAAAGACTTTTATGATATAGATGACGATGACATTCCTTCAAACCCTCAGAAGAAGTCTCCTGTCGATGTTGATGACATTTGATATTTTAGAAGCACTAGAAAAAGGCAGTTTTTTGCTCTTGTAAAAGAATTATTATTAATCTTGATTTCTGTACTCTGAGGAAGCAAACACCGCGGTAATAGTTTTCTTTCTAGTGCTAACATTTGAAATGCTTTGGGTAAAATAGAATAAAACCAATGAATCATGCACGTCACCCTCTTAGAGCTTGATAAAACTGTTTTTACGTACTGTAAACAAAGAAAAACTTGCTGACTAGTTCGCTTCTCACTCCTTTCGTTCTTTAGGGACCATCCTTCAATTTACTTTTTCTTTCAAGTTACTGGGCTTCTTTTTCTATATTTTCTAAGCGCGAGATTTTCAAGTCAATGTATTTTAAGTGAGTTGTTGTGTTGAAAAGTAATTGTATTGCAAGAAAGCCTTTTCTAGAACTATGGATTTCCTACGCCACACAGAAGATGCAAGTAGAGAATTATTTATCATCTATTTTTTGGTTTTTTGCTGAGAAGATTTTATTTGCTAAAAAAAATAACCTTATTTTGTCTTTAGCGCTTGGAGGATTCTATCTCCGCGAGCTAGGTCCTGCTTCTTCTGTTTCTGCTCACTCCTTTCCTTTTGGACTTTGAAATGACGCTTTTGGCGTTTTTTGTTTGTTTTAGATTTAAAAAGGAGAACGTTGAACTGCATGCAAAGCAGTTCTGCCTCCACACAGGAGAAAATTCTCATTAACTCAAATTTTTCATTTCAATTGAATTTATTTTAATTTTCCTTTTGTCAGCACGATGAAACGCTTTTTATTCTTCTCAAAAACTCTCTTTCTTCGTTTCCCAAATTTCCAAATCTTTCCTTTTTTTAGTACTGTAGGATACCTTTCTTTTCAGAATACAGTTGCTATATGAGTGCTGATTGATAGAAATCCGCAATAAAACAAGAGTACACAACATAACTCTGGGAAAAAATGTAGTTTTACATGAGCGACTAGTCGGCATCAACATGATCTGAGCTATTCGATTGCTATGAGGATCAGAATTTGTCTGTTTCATGACTCAGTATCGACAAATTTACAGCAGTTTTTGCACTAGTACCTTAACATGGTTGGGATGCAATGTTGTCATCAACGCGAAAAAGTACATTTTTTGATCGAACACGGTCATTCTAAGTGTCATGTGGCACTGCTCTATCTTCAAAATCAGAAAGCTCACACGTGTCGGCGTTCGCCGATTCACTACTATGTCCCCACATTGTAAAGCTGATGACATAGCATTTGAATTATTATATGAAAAAAAACGTATAACTTTATTAACTGCTATTAATACATTAGAGTATCAATAATATAAAGAAGCGTTCGCAAAAGTTTGGCGGATACCGTTTTTGTTTGAAAATTTTCGACTGTTTTGGCAAAATTCATCTTTATGGCTGCATAGCAACGATATGATTAGCGCTGTAAGCACCAATGGTTACAGGCCGTAATACCTAGCGTATTATACATATAGCAAAGGAGTAGTATCGATAAGTCGGTTTTTCGTTTCAAAAAATTTCCGATTGAAAGTCACATATTTGGAATCAGCGTCGAATTCTGAACAAAATGGCCGATTCAGATTTTTTTTGAAAAAATTT